ATCCCCGAGGCCCCGCTCTGGGCCGTCGCTCTCCCATCCCTGCAGCCCCTCCCGCTTCTGGCTGCAGAGAGCATCGGGCCTGACAGTGGGAGGGGGGCGGTGGGGGGCAGAGCGTGCAGGTAGGCGCCCGTGGATGGGCGGCAGGTGCGGGTGGGACTTCGCGGTGCCCCGTGGACGTGCCGCTCCGTGAACTGCGACGGCTTTGGCGTCAGTCACGGTCCTCAAGCCGGTGAAGCCCGAGCCAACCTGGTGCCTCTGGAAGCACTGACTCGGGGCTGGCAGGGGCCGTGGTCACCGCCTCCAGCCTCCCACCCGAGGACACGCCTGCCTAGGCCCAGCCATCACTCCATTGCACCCCCTTCCTCCCCCGCCCCCAGCTGCCACACTAGGACCACGCTGGCCGCCTCCAGCTCCCAGCACACAGGCCCATGCCAACCCCAACCCCTCTGCCCTCCACGCAGCCGTCTCCTCCCACGGTGAGGGCTCAGCTTGAATGGCACCACTCCAGGGAGCCCTCCTGACCTCCCTACGCAGGGTCCCCATCCCCTCCTCCCAATTTGCTGTTTATTTCATGGGTAACGGGTTTAGCATCCATCTCGCCGGCCAGACCGTAAGCTCCTGGAGGGCAGGGCCCACATGAGTCCCACCCCTGACGGCATCGCAGCCAATTCACCGGGTGCCTGGCCCCCAGCAGGGGCTCAGCAAAGACCTGCTGTCTGAATGGATGCCAAGAGCCCTGAAGGAATTCCCCAAACCTCAGCCGCCTCCCCCGGCAGCTGGGGGGTAACTCTAGCCCAGGGTCCCGCCTGACACTCCGCCCGGGAGCTCAGAGGACGCGGGAGCGTGGGCACAGGCTCCCTCCGCGGTGGCAGAGCGCCCAGCTGGCTGTGCCCACCCGTCAGGGTCCGAGGCCGGGCTCTGAGCCGGTGCCCAGGTGCCTGCGATGCCCCCCGGCCGGGACTGGAGCGGCTGGCAGTTTCTATTGGGAACACGGTCTCACTGTGACGGGCTGGCAGTGTCCCCAGGAAAAGTCCCCCAGTTCCTCAGGGGGCGAGAGAAGCCAGAGCTCGTCTGGAACCGGCATTTAAGCAGGTGTCTCGCGCAGCGAAGGGGAAGTCGGGGCCTGCGATCGCCCCACAGGCTTCCGCTTGAAGAACTGCACAGCCCCCGGCATGGCAGGCGCGGGGCCTGGGATGTGCGTGTGGTTTTTTAAAAGCCCATCCTCGCGGAACGACTGTTTCTTTTCTAAGAACATGTCCTTGTCACCTCCCTCCTCGAGG